CCCTGCCGAGCAGGGAGTCCGATGCGGGACTCGATCCAGGGACTCCAGGATCATGACCTGAGCCGAAGGCAGTCGCTTAACCAACTGAGCCACCCAGGCGCCCACAAGTAGGGGTTTTATTAAAGCAACCTCTAACCCTGGGATGCAGCTTGCTGACCCCTGCCTCCTTCACGCTCAACCAAAAATGGAGAAGGAAAGGCTTTCACTAAAGACCCAGCCAAATCCATGGGGCTAGAACAGGCCTACTGTCCTAACTCGAGTTAATTTTATGTGCTGTGCTGTACTTTGCCCTCCCTGGCTACATATCTAAAGGAGGCCTTTTATATAGCCTTCACTCCTTCTGCTACCAAGAACCCTACAAAAGAGCTTCACAGTCATGTCAGTGAAGTAAGAATGCAAATAAAGAAGACCCATTACTTGAGGGTCCTTCCATTCTGATGACTTATATATGTCTCTTCTAAGGTGAAAGGAGTTTAATCTGGTTCCAGAATGACTTACTGGTGACTACTCAGTCAAGTGAAGGGCTTCAATCATTCCACAATGAGGGTCTCCTACACAGAGGCTCCAGTGGAGTGGTGGATGGGCTGGACTCTAGAGCCAAACTGCCTGAGTTCAAGTCCCAGCTCTGTCTCTTATTAGTTATGGGACTTTATACAAATATTAACCAAACTGAGTCGGTTTCCTTGTGTGTAAAATGCAAATTATGATAATACTAACACCCACCTCATAGGGTTGTCTTATAAAAACAAAACAAGCTAGCTGGCAGAGAGCAAGCCCTTGATAAATTGTTGGTCAATATGCCAAGCAGTGTTGTCTTTGAAGCTAAAGAAGCCATATTCTCAGCCTCATTTTTTGAGGCCACAGTTCAGATTCTAAGATTAAATAGTATATGCCTTTGGCTACATGGGAACGGAAGAAAAATCCAAACCTCAAAATGAAATCCACAACTCTCGTTCTGATCTTTAAGGCCCTCCGCAACCTACACCCTTCCTTCCTTCCAAACAGACCTCCTGGCCTATTCCTTTACCAATTCTCCAGGTCATCTACCCTTTAAAAACATATCAAGCACCTATGTGCCATATACTGTGCTAGGCATTGTTCCACATCTGGTCAACCAGCCTTTGCCTTTCTAGATGGCCTTCACTTAGCTAGCCTTCAAAACAGAGCTCAAGATCAAGCACATCCACAAAGCCCTCCATAGCTACTCCAACCACCAGGGCTTCCCCTTCTGACCTCTCTGAGGTCTTCTGGCTTCTATTTGGTATTTACCATATATTGATTATTTTGTTATATGGTGAAATTTTATATGCCTAACTAAAGCACAAGTGATTCAAAGGAAGGCATGAATCTTACATTTCTTTGTATAACCCTGACTGACTAGTACTGTTCTTTGCACTTAGAGGGACTCAGCAAATTAGTGATTTACTTGTGGTTTCAAGATGACACAGCACACAGCAAATACATTATCATTCATTTTAAACATGCTTCTGATCAATACTCCCTTCATAGTGTAGAGACTTAAAGGCTCAATCATCACACCTAGACTAAGTAGGGGCACCCGGGTGGCTCAGTCGTTAAGCATCTGCCTTTGGCTCGGGTCATGATCCCAGAGTCCTGGGACTGAGTCCTACATCAGGCTCCCCGCTAAGAGCCTGCTTCTCCCTCTCACACTCCCTCTGCTTGTGTTCCCTCTCTTGCTGTGTCTCTCTCTCTGTCAAATAAATAAATAAATAAAATCTTTAAAAAAAAAAAAAAAGACCTAGACTAAGTAGGTTTATGGTTAAATCTGACACTTAACAGCTGTGTGACCTTGAAGAAGTTACTTAACCTGTCTGTATTCAGTTTCTTCATTTATAAACTGGGGATAAACAAAGTACCTACACTTCCTAGGACAGTTATAAGGATGAAGTGAGGTAATACATATAAAGCACTTTCAACAGGACCTGGCACACAGTAATTAATTACTCTATAAAAATTCATTATTATTATTATTACTACTATTTTCCTGAAGTTCAACTCCTCCGGAATGCCCCAAAAAGCATTTTGTAAAGTATGCTGAGCCTATACAAAAAGCTACTGGATTCAGTATATACAAAATATTTCTCCCTTCTTATTTCGCCAATAAGTTTTTCAAAAAGAAATCTCTTGGGGCGCCTGGGTGGCTCAGTTGGTTAAGCGACTGCCTTCGGCTCAGGTCATGATCCTGGAGTCCCGGGATCGAGTCCCGCGTCGGGCTCCCTGCTCGGCAGGGAGTCTGCTTCTCCCTCTGACCCTCCTCCCTCTCATGCTCTCTGTCTCTCATTCTCTCTGTCTCAAATAAATAAATAAAATCTTAAAAAAAAAAAAAAAAAAGAAATCTCTTGGGCACCTGGGTGGCTCAGTTGGTTAAGTGTCCAATTATGGATCTCATCTCAGGTCTTGATCTCAGGGTCATGAGTTCAAACCCCACATTGGGCTCCACAATGAGCATGGAGCCTACTTTAAAAAAAAAAAAAGGCATCTCAAATGCTGTTCACATAGATGTATTTAGTTCATGAAAATATACTGAGCTACACATTTTCATGTGTATGTTTATCTCTGCACACTGTATTTCAATAAAAATTTAGCATTAAAAAAAAGGCATCTCTACCTCTACCATTAATCATTTCCCTCAGGTTGCTACAAAATTGGTAATGCTACTGTACCTTCAATTTTACCATAATTCTCAGCAAAATTTTGAGTATGTATACAACTCAAAAAATATTTTACCCATGGCTTGAAAGAGCAAGGAAGGTCTTAACCAAAACTGAGTCACTATCTAATACATCAAGGCTATACAGAGCCATCAAATTCACCACTTTCCCATGAAGTACCTTCTTCAATTATGTTTTTTAGTCTGTCCCAGGCATCAGCGAAAGCAGAAAATTCTGCCTCAAACCCACCAAGTATGGTAATACCTCTTGTCATCAAAATAGCATTTTCCATCAAGCCATTTCTCTTTCTCTCTCTCTTTTTTTTGCTACAACTTTTCAGTGAGTTTTTTTAAAAGATTTTATTTATTTATTTGACAGAGAAAGAGAAATCACAAGTAGGCAGAGAGGTAGACAGACGGAGAGGGAGAAGCAGGCTCCCCACTGAGCAGAGCCCAATGCGGGGCTTGATCCCAGGACCCTGGGATCATGACCTGAGCTGAAGGCGGACGCTTAACTGACTGAGCCACCCAGGCATCCTTTTTCAATGAGATTTTAATTAAGATCAGTTTTAATGCACAGGCTAAGAGACAAATAACTCTTCAATCATGAGACAAAACGAAACTGCTGACAGAGAGTGGGCAGTTCAAAGTCACACTGGCATTTAAAAAACAAAACAAAGAAACTACCAACTTTCTCTCAAGATATTTGCAATGAGGGCGGACATGCTGCTGTGCAACCTCATAAACCAGGTTCTGCAAACTGACTTGCACTCAGCCTGTGTGCCTACAAATGACTCCTGGTCTGAGTTTACTGCAGCCTTCACTACTTCTTTTTTTTTTTTTTAATATTTTATTTATTTATTTGAGAGAGAGCGAGAGAGAGCCTGAGCTGGGGGAGAGGCAGATGGAGGGGGAGAGGAAGACGCCCGGTTGAGCAGGGAGCCTGATGCAGGACTCAATCCCAGGACCCTGGGATTATGACCTAAGCCGAAGGCAGACGCTTAACCAACTGAGCCACTCAGGCGCCCCAGCCTTCACCACTTCTTACTGGCTTCTTCAGTACAGCACAGAGGTGAAGAACACAGATGTAAACCCTGGCTCCTCCACTTTCCAGCCACACGACAGTGTGCACATCACCTCCTCTCATCATTTGTCAAATGGGAAAAATAAGCCTACCTACCTCAGAGCTGTGACTAAGTGAGCTCACGAAATAAGAATATCCTTATTCATTGTTAGATTCTGTAATTGTTTAGCCCAGTGCTGGGTTGTGGTGCACACTCAATAAATGGCAATTATTATCATCACTATCGTCTCATTTGTATGTGAATTCAATAGCCAAAACCAAGAGGTTAATCATTTTTCAAGTCGGTGTGTTTCTTGTTGAGACCAGCCAGTTTACAGAACTGGTCCAACAAATTCTTTCATGTAGCTCATTCTACAACAGACATAAAGCAAATTACCACAAAATAGAGCAAATTAACCTTCCAAATTTGTTAAGTATCCCTGACTGGGAATGCTAAGATGATGCTGTGGGGGATCTGATACTCCTACTTAAGCAACAGTGTTCTCACCAAGTCTTTCGCTTCTTATCTCCAATCTCATACTCTGGTGGCCTCCAGGAAGCACAGCTCTGTACTTTTCATAAAATTACACATTAAAATACCTAAATAGGCAAAATTAACACTTCCTAAGCATCCTGTGCCAGGAGTGTCACCTCTCAGTAGATCTATTTATTTTATGATAAAAAACAAAAAAAGCTTTCTTGACATTCTTATTTAGGACAAGAAAATAAATGTAATCTATGCATGGAGCAAAATTAAGTGGGATGACACATCAGCATTATTTGTTCTCTACACATCTCAACACTGAGGTTTAGTTAGACATCTGTGTCACTGACTCTAGAATGTCTAGCACCAGTCTAGTGAAATACAACCTAGGCAAACATACTATGTAATTTGTCGTCAAATATTTTAGGTCCCTGAAAAACATAAATACTCACAATACTCAGAATTTGCATAAACCTCACATTTTCGAAATTCTTCCAAACAAGAGACTGAAGAAAAATATATCTGAAAGAATATAATGAACGTGAAATCTATATTCAGCAACTTACCTGTAGTGGCCACACAGGAACTCATCAGTGCAAACAAGGCCATCACATAGTGAGAAGGCATTTTTATTTCTCCAAAAGTGTGCCCCATTCAGTCACCTCAGCTTCAGACTGTAGACAGTGTTGGCAAATCAGAAGTAGCCTTAAAAGTCCTCCTTCCCAATTTTCAAATCGCCTGTAAAAATAAACATATTTCAAGAAGAAAACTTAATGCAGAAACTGCTTTTCAAAAATACACATTAAAGTGAAATGAAGAATTTCTAAAAAGTGTAAGGTTTATTTATCTTACAAGAATGCCTAGACAGCACTCCAGTAAGCTGATGTGGGGGTGCTAATTACCCAGTAAAGATTTTTAAAGCAAATACTTTTGTAAAGAAATGCTTAGTTTTAACATTTTAAATCTTTGGTTTTATATAAAATTTTTAGGAATACAGAAGAAAATCAAGATGCACCTATAATAGAACATTACCAGTTACGCTGTGGCACTAAAGTAATCAATGACGCTTGACACATGAACTTCCTAGTGTCAACAAGGAAACACAACTCTGATCAGAGACTCAGTCTAATGTTATAATGACAGAGTCATCCCAAGGATCAAATTAAAATACATTTAGAATCAATGTGAAAAATAAAGAACCATGAAAAGGAAAGCTCTCTTTTCAACTGTTTGCCAACATTTTAACAGGAGACAAGTCTTCCCTGTCTCTCAACCCCATCTGAGACTCTGGTTACTGGATCAGAGGATCCAGAGGTACCTTCTAACCTTATACTATCCAGAGCCTTGAATGACAAGTTTTAATGGTGATTTGTTTAACTTGAATATCCCTCCTATGGTCTTAAAGATTACTTCATTTAGACACACCGAATGTATTTTCCAGCCCTATATCCCTGAGCCTGGCACAACCCACAGAAATTGTTCAATTCAATAAGCATTTATTGAGCACCTACTATGTTCCAGGCTCTGTGTAAGGGCATGATTCCTTCTTATCAGGAATTGAAGGTATCTAGCAACTGGCTAAGAGCACAAAGACCCTGTCTCATCTATGTGCTGAACAAGGCAAGATCATGGAGTTTCCAGGAACCATCTCAAATAGCCGGGAACTGCAGCCTTCGTACCCGCACCCAGGAAACACTATCCACAGAACCAGCTTGCTACCTTCAGAGACAAAGCCAGTTTGGGTACTTGTAAATGCAGTGCAAAAATATAAAAAACAATGGCAAAATAAGTTTTTTTTTTTTTTTAAGATTTCATTTATTTATTTGACAGAGAGAAAGAAAGAGCACAAGCAGCAGGGAGCGGCAGGCAGAGGGAGAGGGAGAAGCAGGCTCCCCACTGAGCAAGGAGCCTGATGCGGGACTTGATCCCAGGACCCTGGGATCATATGACCTGAGCCGAAGGCAGACGCTTAACCGACTGAGCCACCCAGGCGTCCCGCAAAATGAGTTTCTAATTAAATGTTCTTAGTTCACTGCATCAAGTGTTAAGGAAAAGATATTTAAAATGCCTCTTTTCAGGGGCGCCTGGGTGGCTCAGTCATTAAGCGTCTGCCTTCGGCTCAGGTCATGATCCCGGGGTCCTGGGATCGAGCCCCGCATTGGGTTCCCTGCTCCGCGGGAAGCCTGCTTCTCCCTCTCCCACTCCCCCTGCTTGTGTTCCCTCTCTCGCTGTGTTTCCCTCTGTCAAATAAATAAATAAAAAGCTTTAAAAAAAATAAAAATAAATAAATAAAATAAAATGCCTCTTTTCATGGGGTGCCTTGGGTGGCTCAGTCTATTAAATGTCTCACTCCTGATTTCAGCTCAGGTCGTGATCTCAGGGTTGTGACACGGAGCCCTGTGTTGGGCTCCACGCTGGGCATGGAGCCTGCTTAAGATTCTCTCTCTCCCTTTCCCTCTGCCCTGACCCTCCTCCCTCTCTAAAAAAAATTTTTTTTAAAATTGCCTGTAACGAGGGAAAGAGGATGACTGGGGGGCAGTGGTAGGAGCACAGGAGCCTTTTCACTGATTCCCATTTGAGTTTTCTACCATTGGGGTTTTGCAAGTATTACCTATCCAGAAATAACAATAAAGTTCTAACATCCAAAAGAATTTTTTACATATGCCTTGAAACTAAATTATTACATGTGCAGGAGGTACTGTTGTTCAATCTTGATGCACGATAGTGATTAAAAGCCTAGTATGAACAGAAATGGATTACGATGGCAGTTAAAAGCCTGCCTAGGTATGAATCCACTCTGCCACCTACCAAATGGGTTATGCTGGGCGGATTATTCTGCATGCGTGAACCCATCAAATGGGCCATTGTGAGGATTACATTAGCATGCACACGTGTGTGCGTGCGTGCGTGTGTGTGTAAAGCTTAGAATAGTGGGGAACACATAATAAGCAATCAATAAATGTTACGTGTCCATTCCTTTTGAGGTATATTTATACCAATGAAATGGAAAAATTAGGATGTTTATTTATGTAATCCTTAGCTACTATAAAATCAGTTCAATCTTTTGTTTACTGAAAAATGAATACTTCAACAGACACAAAAAGGAGGTAAGCTAAAGAGTGGAATCACTAAAAGAACAAAATTACCAGTCAAGTAGAGGCACAAGTCATTAGTGACACAATGGTCTTGTCTCAAAAACTGCCTAAGTAGATAATTTTGGAAAGCATGAAACTGACTTCAATCACCCCTTTAAGTCCAACACTGCTGTCACCGTAATTCCACATCATCTCAAATGAAATGGAAGTCTCCTCTGTGAACTTAAAAAGTCAACGACAGCAGGGCACCTGGGTGCCTCAGTCGGTCAGCTCAGGTCATGATCTCAGGGTTGTGAGATGGAGCCCTGCATCAGGCTGCATGAAAGATTCTCTCTCCCTCTCCCTCCCCATCTGCCCCTTCTCCCACTCATGCTCTCTCTCTCTCTAATAAATAGTCTTAAAAAAAAAAAAAAGTCAATGACAGCAAAGATAATTTGACCCTGTTTTTTCCCTCCAAAAAATTAAATTTCCTGAATGGATTGATAAGGAAAACTCTCTCCAAAAGAATATGCTATTTCAGCAAATGCTAAGAGCAATTTTCATAAAGCAAAACCCTGTAAGGAGATCTCAGAAGAAGATGGTTTCCCAGAGGATTTTTATGGAGCACATAAACTATAACCCACACGAGGCTTGCGGGAATATTTAATGAGCTTATGCCCCCCCTGGCCGCAGCTGCAGAGGGTCTGTGGGACTGTGAGCATTAATCCAGGGGCTTAACCCAGGTCTGAATGAACCTGTGGAAAGAAAGGCAAAAGCTTCTATTAAAAATATAGACTGCAAATTGCTGACAAGAATATTGGGCAATTATTAAAATGCAGCAATTACAGATATAACAGAGCCAAGCTAAACAGTTTGATGCCCAAAGGCAAACCACAGCAAGTTTATACCGGATTTTAAAACATCTCCGAGGAAGTCCAAGACAAGTTGAAACTACACACTGCTGCTTCTAACAAAGAGGGAGCTTTTCTTCTTTTAGCTTAAAAGTCCCTCCGTAATGTAACTTGTTCAAAAAGAAAATAAACTGCAAAGAGTTTTTGTCTAATCTTCTCAATGTGGTGACAGGATCCTAAGGCGGAGGAGAATAAAAAGGGAAGCATGTCATTCCCATTCTGTGGAACTCCAATATTGGCTAAGACTTGTACACATCAGCACCTTAACGTAAGCCTAGGGATGCGTTCCCCAACTAGAAGAATGCTGGATGATCGAGGCTCCCAGAAAGTTGTAGATCGGAAATACAAACTCCTGTTTTGTTCCGTAAGGTTATATCATGCTCAATTTGCAAAGAGCAGGGACTCCCCACCCTGGGTTTCTAAACTCACTGAGTATCTTTGGTCTTTATAAACTAAATGCTTCCTTGAGAAATATAAATGAAGTACTCTGTGATCTTGAAGGAACAATTTGGGGTTCACTGTGCAACAGTCATTTTGTCCACATTGCAAAGCAATGTGTTCCGTTCAAAGGGTATCAGTACTTTTAGTGTCTACAAATGAGCAAAAAAAATTTCTGAGAGCTTAATGGACATAAAATATACACACACACACACAAATGTGATACGAATTCTTCTAATTTCAGAGCTCCTCTGTGTCTATTTCTGAGGCCATTAAACGGAGTGTGCTGCCCCACATTCTCTAGTGATCCAATAGTATGCACAGGTAAAGAGAGGGATTAGCTGAAAAACCCCTCCCCAAATGAAAACCATCATGGGTTAAACCAATGTTCAAAAGGAACTGGTTGGGAACAGTATTCCCTGGGTTGATCCGGATGTTTTTTTAAAAAGGCATAACTTTCTCTATCTTAGAGGAAAAACGTGGTGAAATGATGTCTGGCAATAGGCTAAAAGCCAGCAAGAGAAATTACTAACTTCCCCTTACATGTCTAACACAGATGGCTATATACATGAGATTATTTAAGATCAGAATTTACAATGAACTTGGAGTGTATCAATTTCCCAATTAAAGGAATTGGCATGCTAGAGATAAGTAACAGCTTTTAAAGCTGGAAGAGATCAACATGATTTCATTGATGAAGAGGAACCCAAACTCCAAGCCCAGCACTTGCCCAGGGTAATACAGCAATGCTAAGACTAGAAACCAGGTCTTCCCATGACAGGCTCTACCTCCTAGATCCAGATCTGTCACCACAAACAAGGAACAATTTTCTCCCTCTCAATTCTCAATCTCTGATAACAGAACAGTTTTTCCGAGAGAGAGAAGCCTGCCAGAGCTGCCGTCAGACAATGGGACCTGCATGTTGACATATACCCTCTACACAAATCATTACTGATCACAATCCGTGACTTGACTTCAGGACTGTAAGTGGCAACTCTAACAAATAAAGAATCCTTGATAATGCTGTAGGACTCCAAGTTCTCTGAAAATGCAAAGGGCAAGATGAAGCACAAACTTATATATGGTCATATCTTAACACTAAGACTATTTAGGAAAATATTCAACAAATTTGAAGATCTTCAAGACAGAGATATACTGAGTGGAATAAAAAAAAAAAATTACCATTCCCTAAACTCAAATGGTAAATAACACCTGAGTTTCTGGTACCTTAAACATGAAATTATTTTTCAGCAGATCATTAAAATGTCTCTGGTCTGACACGTAAGTGAATTTTTGAGAGAGAAATATACT